TTTGACCTAGAGGGTTCCATGTGAGGGCTTGTTTTGTGACGCAGTTCGGTGCTTTTCGTAGTGTGTCCTATCCACTTCCACCGCTTCTTCCTGATTTCCTCCTCCACTGCAATCTGGTTTGTTCTCTTCCACAGTCATTTTTGTTAATCGTGTCTGGCCAACGAATCCGAAGTATTTTGCGTAGACAACTGTTCATAAACACTTGTATCTTCTGGATGATGGCTTTCGTAGTTCTCCAAGTTTCCGCTCCATACTTCATAGAATGTAAATATTTTTTAAGAAAGTAAGTGAGCAATAATGATTCCTTATAATGGTTCAATGATGTCTAATGTTAGAATTTTCAAAATAATACTACTTTTCTAATCTGTTAAATTGTGATTATTCAAACCACACTATTATCTTTTCTGATAGATTATTATGTTAGATAACAACAGTAGATATTTATTATCAAAGAGTGTGACTTGAAATTTGATCTATAGTATCTAAAATTTATTTACTTCGTTATTGTATTAAAGCAGTGTACGTAATTTTATGGTATAAAATTCCACCAACCATTACTTCACTTATTTTCGTTTCTTGTTGAAATACTCATTCATCTAGTCCAACTTGATTAATCTTTATCATCTGATTTAAAAACTGTTTCATGTAGAGTATAATTAGGCTGACCCACAGTTTTGAAACTTTTTGATTGATAGTTCTTGGAATGAACAACACTTAGTCGGTATGTTAAATTCCGAGATCACGTATCAGGTGATCTCCAGAGTCCATTGGTTATCGTTCACTTGTTATTATTTTGTATTCTTAAGATAAAGACTGAAAAATATGGGTATTGCCACTAAAACTGTAAATTTATTTTACTCCTTGTTTGTTCACTACATTTATTTACATTTATATGAAAAGAATTCAGTGTAGAAAATTTCATTTCCGATGAAATCATTTCCATAAGTTGTGCATTATCACATAGTTGTTTGATTGAATGGAAAAGACTACATAAAGTAATCCGAGATTTCAAATATCAAAGGGAGGTTACGTAATGATCTAGCGGTAAGAGAAGAATACGGGGATAAAGATTATTTAAAGGTCGGAAATAAGAGACATAAGTGTTCACTTGACAGATATGAATAAAGTGAAGTTCAACATATCTAATGAAAATCGGTAGCGGATACTATAACTAATAACTGATTGCGTTTGAAAAATACAAATAATATAATTAAACGAAACCACACAGGTTAGGGCCATGGAAGGATGAGCGGTTAGACGCATCGTTTTTGTACAAATAGTTCTAGCCTGAATTGTTGGATTGCCAACCCATCATCAGTGAATAATTTTTTAATTCTAACATTCTGTGATCCAACTCTGCTGACTGTATTAATCAATTTAAAGGACGACTCCTCCAACGGAGTTGATCAAATGCTCCTATATTGAACCTTACACTGCCCTTTTCAAAGCCACACAGACTAGTGTTATGAGATAGGTTTAGAAATCAACTGTTGTGTGTCTAATACAGCCCACCTACACATATACAGCTTAAGTAAATGATTTTATCGGAATGAAAATTTTTTCCTCGATGAATTCTCCTTATTTTAATTCAAGGGCACGACAGGTAACTTTAGTTAGGTTTCCTCCCCTCAGTTATTGTTGACTGATTCGATGAAATACTTTTGTTCTTAGGTAATTTGTAGCTTGTCTGTTTACCTATAAAGAGTGTAGTATTTTTAAATGACATGAATAACAACTTATTTCACTTAGATTTGATGAAAAGTTATGTGAATCCTGTTTATAGGTTTGATTAACTGAAATCTGTTTAAATTAACAAAAACTTGAAAAAAGTTTTAATTCACTTGAAGTTGTTTTGCTAAATAACCAGCTTGTATCAATATATACTCATGCATTACACTTATCATTTCGCGAGTTCATCACTAACAGTGCTAATTCACTACATAACTTCAAAACGGAACTTTACTTTATCGTATAACTTGATTTTTTAATTTGAAATTGCGTGATCATTAAACGTAAATTCAATGAATAGTTCAGTTACTTGCAAACTCTGATCATTATTTGTGTTTAACTTCAAAGATTATTATTTATTATTCTGATTTATATTCTATAATGTCATTATACTACTTTTAAAACCGGAAAGATAAAAGAACGTAGTTAAGTTCAATAACAACATGATTTTCCAATCTTCAGTATTTTTAAATGAATAAGGTCAAATAACTTGCAAATTCGACATCAAGAACTTATATGAAATATCTTATAGAACAAATCTGTCGGTTTATTTTGAACAAAAAATAAATAAGGACTGTCAACTAACAAGGAATGAATAAACGAGAATGCATTAAATAACACAATTTAGGAGAACATATGATGTAGGTGAGAAAACAACGAAAATAATCTTTGAATTGATCAAAGTTAGACATTGACACCGTCGGATGCTGGCTCGGTGGTCCGAAGGTTTTAGATTCCATTCTTGCTTGAAGATGTCGTGGATGCTCACTGTTGATGAGTTCCACACTTGGACGAGAAGGCTGTCCAATGTTTCCAGGGTTCTAATGGTGGTCTAACATTGATCGATTCATGCTTTCAACGTAAAAATAAGCAGCAACAAAAGGCATGGCGTCAGACAAAGAATCTTGAATTATGTTTACTGAGTAAAAAAGAGCACCGATGATATAAATAATGACATGTTATAAACTAACTGTATATAGGATTTCAAAGACATCATTTTTTTGATAGGGAACTTAATGAAAATTGTGGTTATATATGTAAAGTCCAAGTTAGTTTATTTAAAGTAACTGAGATTGCTATATGATAGCCTCTTCAAAGATTTTGTTGGTTAGTACAAGTTATACTTCTACTCTCATACTCATCAGTCATTCAATACATCTTCCTTATATTTTAGTTTGCTTTTATTATATGTTTACATTTGATTATGCAATGTTTATTAGTCATTTCTCTTTCTACAGTTCATTAGCACTGGGCTACATTGTATGTTTCGGTAACTGTTAAGATAATGAATAATCTTTTTATTCATTTTCACATCATCAATAAACTAAAGATTTCTAGTTCGTAAAATAGTTACACTGCTTATAAGTAGTATATAAATTACAACTAAATTATGACGAGGTGGTGCGGTATTACTGCTTGCTTATTCACATTAAAACATAAATAATTGACTGATGAAAATACAGTTGTCAAACGTGTTACAGTGTAAGCATAAGGTTCAATTAATGTATGTAAAGTTATCTGGTTCACTGAAATAAATCATTTTTTATTGCTTTTAGCATAACATTTCATAATTCGATTCCGACTGCTTCCATTTTTTCATAAGTATGCTTACCTTTAGCGATATACAAACTACACATTATATGATATTTATGTTCACTGGTGTTAATTATAAAAAAAACACACTTGGTAATAAACTTGAAGTTGATGGTAATAATATATATACACCTCACATCTTTTTCTTTATTTTAACTTTTTTCCTAACTCATTCGATGAATTCAATAATTTTATATATTTCTATTTCTGTTTATTGATATCATGATGAATTGGTAATTTTTCGTAATAATTGGTATCAACAATAAAGGCCAATTTGATGATTTATTTTACCCTCTTCCTAAATATCGATATCCCATGTCCCATTTTTGTGAGTGAATTATGTAATTCGATCTTTTAATGAAATAACCTCGTTTTATTTAGATACTGTTTCACAGTAAAGGAAATTGAGTACTAATAAAACATTTTATAGTTCAGATTATAGTTTAATAAATTTTTAAAATGTCTTGCGAGATTAGGATCACTTCAATGTTCTAAGTAGAATGATAATACAAGTCTTATTTTTGAAATATTAACTTTTTATGGAAATTTATTAGATAATTAGTTTGCTTCCGGTATCATGTCAATAAAAAATTCAAAGTATATCATAGTTTACATCACCGACACATTAATGAGATTTAAAGTTGGTGGTACAAAGTTGCGAATCGACTGGACTTAAGCATTCAAACCATTGGTGCTGAGCCAATGAACGTACGTTTAATTTTTCGCCCTGATACTTAAAGCCTCTAGGTTTACTCTCAGATGCGATTGCGAACATGGAGTGCTTAAATTACATACTACGGTTGTCCAGTGTTTTCTGACTTTGAGTGGTTACCTAACAGAAATTACTTCTCATTTTAAATGGTGAAATTTAACTTTCTTTATAACTAAAACCAATATCATCAAAAGTGCTTTCAAATCATTATACTCCAGGCCTAACTATTTCTATAAACTTGTGAAATCGCGTCGTTTAACAGAAGAGCTTTATATTACAGTAAGAGAACACTGAAATCATTGTTTATCATCACCTGGCTAAATATTAATTTATACCCTTATGTTAAATTAGACAACTAATATTTAAAAAAAAGAAGAAGAATTGAAAATTGTGCAAATGGTAATATCATTCAATAATAGTTGAACAGATAATCAGCTAATAACAAATAAAGGTTATAATTTATGACTTGTATGTCTACATATCAATACATGATGTTGTGGATTGAACAGTAGTTTGTCAATCAGGACTAACAAGAGACTTTTCGTCACATTTCATATTGTTGTATTTTCTCTATTTCTTTCTACAGTAGACTTGTTCAATGTCATATGGTTTGATTTTTTTCCTAATCGTTGAATTACAAATAACAGCTTGAAATTCTGAATAATCATTTAAAAAGACAGATGAATGTCGACTAATTTCTAAAAAAAAGTCAACCAATCACAAAAGCGATCAAATAATTATATTTTGATTGGTAATTTGAAATATCCTTTTTTTGTTATTGACATACATATGTACATTATTTAAATTGTTAAAATGGACTGAAACATACAGATGATTAATTTTAAATAGAGAAAAAAAACATGAACCATTGAATTTTGCTGTTTGTTTAATGGGATTATTTTGTGATGAATAAATTGAAACAAAATATAAAATAAATTGAAACTTTTTAAACAGTGATTTTTTCATTATGAATCAAACATATATTATTTTAACAAATGTACGATCGGATATAAATTTAACATTATACAGAGAAAATAATATTGAAATTTATAGTGCATTTTTTGTGCAAACAACAATATGTATCATTGGATCAATATTAAATATCATCAACGTCATTGTATTAAGCCATAAAAAGTTTGAAGCTACACCATACTTATTTATGACAGCATTATCGTTAACTGATACTGGAATATTAATTGTTCATTTACCATCTGGTTGGGCAAGGTAAATTACTTATTTATTGTTTGATTAAAAACAAAAACAATGATTACTAGCAATTGAGGTATTCAAATACAATGTATTTGAATTCCTAATATTATCAATAATTCTTGTTTTGTCAGTTTCTTTGAGAAATTGAATTGCACAAAACATCAACTACAATTTCTGGTTGTAGTAAAATACAATTTCTAATATACTTATTACTTCCAAGTCGCTACTAAATAGGTTAACAACATTCACAAACAAATGGATTATTTACTTATAATGTAAACTTCAGTGGATTCTAAATGTAATTTTTATGCAGCACTTAATCAGAGTATTAGTAAGCTCTTGTTTGTGGTAGTCTTTCATTCTCTGAGCTGGTTGTTTTTCTCAGAGAACGAGACACCACTACAATCATCCACCTGAGCTACAAATTTTCTCCACCATCTCAAGCCCTTTTTTAGCACCGTTAAAAAGATTTTACACCTTATGCGATTCAAGCTAATTAAAATATAGACAGTGAGTTTTACAAGTATGTGAGTTGAAACTCATTTCGCTTAACGTCCTGTTCACCTAATTGAGGAGTTCGATAAAGTGATGAGGCTGCGGTCAGCTTACTGTCTATTAGGGCTACTTTATGTCAATCCTCAGCTAATTGGAAGAAATTACTGTTAAAACGTGGAATACAAAGATGTAATGTTCCGTCTTTGAAATATAAACATGGTAATATGTAAAAACATCAAACATTATAAATATACAAAGAACTGAAGTTATGGCCACTTTAAAATGCATAAGAAATTCCTAATTCTATGACCTGAAACTGTTTAAAATATAAACATACTATTTTAAAATAATATTTAACGGGATATAAACTAAGGGGAAACAGGATAGATAAATAAGTGATTTTTGCTTTATCATACATATTACAGAGATACACTTATCAGTGAATTATACCCCAACAAACTGAAAACAGTTGTGTTAACTACTCCCCATTGAAAAACGACTGGTACTGCATTTCCACTTAAATGCCAATCATCAGAAATTAGGTCATACAAACTAATCTTAACCTGATCAATTTAAAATGATACATAAAATAATATTAGGCATTTGTTTTTTTTCAATAGATCGTTTGCACGTAACAAAAAATGAGTTTTCGCTAAGAAAATCGAACACACTAATGATCGATTTTATATCCGTCTATGTCTAACTTCAAATGACTTGACACAATAATGTATAACAAAAAAATGTTGAAATCTCGTAAAATAATGGGGTGATAAAGTATTAGAACTTAGGATTGATAAGAAATGCTGAAACATTCTAACAAGCAGTGAGGAAACGCTAAGCCGCTCTGCGAATAGTTGACGTTTATTATTCTGGGTAAACTTTAGGATAACAGAAACGAACTGTGATCTCAAAAACTCTTAACAACTGAGCAAGAAACAAGAATGATGATAAGGTTTTGATTTAGTAAAGAATTGTTTTTTCATTAGTGGGTTGCGGAGATTGTTCACTTTCATAAACAGGTCGATGTTAGACCATCATTAAAAACCCAGAAGCACTGGGCGGTCGTCTCGTCCTGATGAAGGACTAATCAGCAATGTACATCCACGACTCTGAAAGCAGAAATCGATCATTCGACGGCATTGTAAGATTTCACTGACTGTCTTCAGTGAATAAAGGCTTCAAGACTAAATAGCTGTTCAGTGCTTTCAGTTTTGTGGCAGTGTAACAATGATCGATTCATGATTTCAAATAATTTTTCACATTTTTTTCATGACTGAACGCTGATTTAAGCATAGTTGATCTCATCTTGCTCTAATTTAATTTCTTGAACATCTTGGTTCATTCACTTCTTGTTAATAGTAATTATAGTGATAGCGTCCAATTTTAAGAGTACATTTCTAATTCGAGTGCTTAGAAGGATTATCTCAGATTGTATATTCCAAGTCAAGTTATCTGCAATATAAAATTTTTAGTTAATCAGCTAGTATTAGAAAATAATAAAATTTATTAGTTGTTTGAACTACATAGAAAATCTTATTAGTTGTCAATTTAAATAATGTTAAGTGCATCGATAAATAATTTATTTTTATCAGTACTTGAAGTACTTTATCAGTACGTCTCACACTTGTTGGGATGGTAGACTGATACTTTAGTGACTGATGTTTTGTAAAGCTTTCATTTGAAAACTCCTTGATATTCCATACATTTACTAGATAACGGTAAATATAACAGAATGATACCAAATCTGGTATTCTGATTAAAATGATGATTTTTAGTGTCAATTGTTTACTAAAAATAATTATCTCAGTAAATATGTATTTGATTTTTGACTTGTATCTATTTAAAAAAAAATAAGCTAACAACTTTTATGTTTGTTGTCAGGGTCTATCTAAAACAAACACATTTCCAAATAGCTTTATTAAGTTAAATCACTTAATACTTAGTGTTCTGATAAGTAGACTGCCATGCTTTCATCTTTATTTATTTTTGAAATAGTTCAACACAATCTAACAACTATGAAATATTGTTTATGTTGTAAATGTTTCCGTGTATTATTCGATAATTTAATGAAATTTTTTATTTTTCTAAAAGTCACAGATTAGTATGATTAGTCATGATTTGTTTACATTAGTATGCATTATTAATATTCAATTTCGAATGATGTATACGTATATATATATATATATATCTTTTGATTCAAGACGTTGAATTATGATATTTCATCACGAATTATCTGTATGATTTACCTTCAACTGTACAAAACGATACAGAATTCATTTAAGCTTATATTTAGAAATGGTTCATTGACTTTTATTTTATCTGGAAACCATTATGCAAAATTTAAAACAAAAATCACCTCTGACGAAAAAACTATCCGTAAACAGTTTATTTTTTTTTTACAATAACTACGCTAATTTCTTGTGTTTTGTTTTGTTTTTAACATTTAAGAAATGAAAATGACACAAACTAATTTAAATAATTACATTTATTTCTTCAGTTGTTGTTTATCCATTTCATGTTGTTATAACAAATAATAATAAAACAAAAAAGAACATAATTGTTGTCAGCACTTCACAGTTCATATCCTCTCTAATCCCATGCTTTTTGTTCCCCTCCCATCTGATCCAATCCATGCCATTTGTAGATACATATAAATTCTACTTGATGAATAATTTTTTATTTACTATGATAAATTATCTGTTTAGATATATTTTTGCTTTATCTGTTTTCTACCTTCTAATTATTGATTATACGATGGTATAGGTATGCATTATGTTCAAAAGTAAATATACGATTGTCAATGATGCCATTTAAAAATATTTTTAAAAACAAAAATACACATAGATAAACAGTATGTATGCATGCATGTAAATGTATAGAAAGTCGATGGAAATATCAAAAACAAATTCATTCTAGTCAATATTTTCAACAATTATTTCGTTGACTATATTAATAAAAGTAAAATTTAAACGATAAAAAGAAACAACTCTTCTTTATTTCAGCATGGTATACTAGTCAACTTTGAAATGTAATCAAAAGACAAGAAGAATTTTAATGAAAGAAATAAATTACATTATTTTTTGTGAATAATAATAATCATTTAATCAGAATTTGAGATTTTATTTATTTAAATTAGACATTCATTGGATAAGTATTTATTGATTTTATGCAATCAAAGTTAATTGCTCAAATTTAACAAATGAATTGATGTTTTAAATCACTGATGACGTCCAGTGATGGTGTATTCGTGATTGATTGTCATGATACATTGGATTTTAGTGGGTTGATATATTACATTCAGTTGTATTTTGTTTAGCTTCAACAGTTCAAAGTATGCTTACATCAGATAATATCGATACTAAAGTTCTAAGTTTATGACTGGAGTAACTTGAATTTTATGTAGAAAATATTTTTAAAGATAAAACTACAACGAGATGCAAGCAGAAATGTAAACCTAACCTGTTTGAAAAGAAGTTATATTGCATGTGTGTCATAAATTCACTCTGGAGTTTTAATGTTGAAAAAGGTAAAACAACTTTTCTTCACTCATTCATTGATTTTAACTTGATACGATATTTGTCTCTGGAATCGCTTACGAGTCCCTTAATTATGGAATTGAAATTATTCTCAATACGAAATGATTTTGATGATCGAAAAGCATTGAAAATTTGTCCAATTGATGAAATAGTCTTGCAAAAAATGCTTTAAATCAATTTTACAACTTTGAATAGAAATGATCAACCTATAATTGATTGCTATAAAGTTATTAGTAGATCACCTTATCTGAAACATAACAAATGTTGAGGAAATATCTCTTCTCATAAAAAACAAAATATACTTATAGAATTCTTTTGTATTTGGAAATAAGCCTAACAATTTTAATTTAATATGAAACTAGCAAAATGTTCCAATTGTAGAAAAGTTTGTTGATAGTTTCAGTTTTGTGTTACTTTTATTCCACTATTTATAGATTAGTTTAGTGTTTAATACCTTTGCTACTTTATATAAAAGAGTACAAAACACTGGTAATGTGACTCATATCAGCTGGAAAAGATTGTTTTGAAACACCAAATGAACACAGGAATCATGAGGTTTTATGTTAGTCGCATAAACCTCTTAAGATGACAGAAAAATGAAGTAGGCTGAATTTTATTATCAATAAAGTATTTCATTGGAGTAAAAAAAAATCCACTCTGCTGTATAAACCACATCATATCAAACATTAACTGATAATTAAACATCGAAATTCCAAAAACTACTCTTGAATTGCCAAAGTTATGCAGGTAAATGACGCAACATCCAACATTTATGATTAAAAAACAAAAAATTATAGATTTTTCGGAGCAGTTTAATAAAATGTTCTCTAGGATAAATGATTTGAAGATCTTTATCTTTTTAGAAGACATTTCGTCTAAATTTGAAAGAATAGTTTCATATTAATTGGGCGCTGATTTTATATAAGGCATTAAATTACGCATTACAACTAATCTTACTTTCAGTACTGTTAACAGAATCGGATA